TGGAAAAATGGTAAAAATGCTTTAGCTCTCTGAATGGTTGCAGATTTTAATTGTGCAATTCCAGATTAAGTAATGTCCTACAGCTAGTGCATGTCTTATGCTGGATATACATGTTTAATCTGTTTGTTTTACCCAGATAGATGGATACTTAAAATGCACACACAGCTAGCTTAGATGAAACTTGTCTTATTATTATACAGGATTTATATAGCGCCAACAGTTTGCGCAGCGTTTTACAAAATGAAGGTAGACATAACAGTTACCATACAATTTGGTACAAGAGGAAACAGAGGGCCCTGCTTTAGAGCTTACAATCTAGGAGGAAGGGACTTGTAGTTCAGAGATTCGCACCAAAAGTACATCACTGAACAAGCAGTTGTGTGCATTTTAACCATCATGTCCTGTTGATTCCTTAAAATAGCTAAAAAATGTGTTGTCCTCTTTGTTGCTTCAGAAAAGTACTTAGCAAAACCAAGACTAAATGTGTACCCAGACAGAAAGAAAATTGTAATCCTTTCCCTTTGAGCAGAGAATACAAATATCCACTAGATGGCATGCTAGCTCTTTGGTGAATCCATTTAATATTGTCTTGTTCTTCAGAAGAAAAAAAAAGATAAAAAATGTATTTCCTTGTATTTTTTTACAGAAATGTGATTTAAGATACAGTCAGACTATACTGTAACCTACAGCAGGATTGGACACTGGCAAACAGAAATATTGTAATCCAGCATCCATGTATCTCCTTCTCTAACCAGCAAGCCTCATTGCCTCAATTTTTTGCTAGTGTCTTATAAGATTGGGTGCATTTTCCTCAACTTTGCTGAGTAAAGTCTTCCTAGCCTTTTTTCTTCTCTGATTTTTTTCCTCTGGAATTTCAATTAAGATTCCTCTCTACTCCGCTGCTTAAGCTGATCTCTATATAGCTGTTTTTTAGATTGGCTTTTTCTCAGTACTAGATTTGGAGGCCTACATGGACATCGCTTGACTGGATATGTAGGGCTAACCTGGAAAGTGACCTTTGGGCATTAGGCTCTGCATTGCGGCATTTTCTAGACTCAAGTACACTGTGTTAGTCAAAGAGTTCTTTTCAAATCTAGAGCTGTGGCACAGACAAAGGTTGTGGCCCTGTCTCAGAAGAGAAAGGTTGGCTGGACTGAAGCATCAGAAATACCTTTTAAGTTTCCCAATACTGCCAGTTTTGCCACAGGCTGTGGGACCAAGTGCTGACGTCATCCACTGAGTACAGTGACGTGCATGCATGCTCTTTGCTTTTTTTTCCCCCTATTCAGCCAATAGGAAGCACCATCCTGCTCTTCATGAAACATGTGAATCATCAGTCTGTTTCCACTGCCCACTTGTAGTGATCTGCTCACCTCTGGCTGCCCCCAACCTCATCAACACCAGTTGTCTGGGTTTTCCTTTCTCACTTGGTAATAATGTGCATACAGATGTGCAGAGAACTCTGGTTGCATGCATGGGATGCTGATGCTACCTGCACTGAGTTTTTGACTTGAATATTTTAGGGGATGTGGCTTATTTGGTCCTGACCATAATACTTCAAGTAGCAGTGCAGCTGAAGGATAGAGCGAGCTCATGTTTCAGTGTAAAAGGTCCTCAAATGGGTTGGCATAGTCCCACCTCTCTCCTTCATCTACCATTTTTAGTGGTTTCCCACCATCTCTCCTATGCTAATGGCAGAAAATGTTGCTTCTTTTCCGATTGATTTTTGTTCCATATGTCCTGGGGTCCTTGCCCATGTTAAATCATGGTCCAAGCTTTTGGAGTTGTACACTATCCAGACTCGCGCTCCCTTCCTTAGAACTCGTCCTCAGGGCCCTTTCCTGGCATCCTCCTTTTGGTATGCTCAGCACATCTCCTCTGAAGGGTCTGAAACCTGCAAGGTTAGACTGGGTAGGGCCTTGCAGATGTCTATCAGTAGCTACTTGTCAGTGGACGAGGCTGGACATCTTAAACCCTTGTTAAAAAGCTCTACTTTATTTTTTGCCATTGGCAACAGGTAGGGAATTTACCCCTTTTCCCTGGTTGAGGGTGTGGGGGGCAGTAAGGGAACCCCTCTCAGGAGGCTCTGTCCTGCCCTCAGGGCTCTGACCTCCTCAATCTCCCCCACCCTTGCAAGGGGTCTAGACTCTGAGCATGACATCCACATTGCCTATATGGATCAGGTTGTCCTTGGATTAATTTATCCGTGTATTTGGGTAAGTGGGTTGTCTCTTCCTTCCGTCCCAGGGAGACCCCACTTGCTGGGTAGGAACTCCAGTCTGGATATCTGGAACAGATGGTTTTTTCTTCATTGAGGAACCCTTCATTGAGTCAGCTTCCTAGATTGAAACTTCATTAGACATCACTTTGGTGTTGCAATGCATTCTCCTCTGGAAAGGACAAGTTACCTGGTCTCTAGGCTTGATAACACCAACATTACTACCCTCAGCAGCACTGTTTTCCTTAGGACTAGGCATTGGAATCTGGCTCTTCTCATCTGATAGTCACCACACCAAAGAGAGTTCTGTACACCTTGAAACTCTTCATCTTCTGCTATGCAGGCAAATACCATCACTGGAGGGCTTTGCACATCCCTGAATTGTCAATAGGTGAAACATCCTTGGTTCCTGCTGTAGGTTCCCCCTGTTGAGGATATAGAGCATCAGGAGGACTTCGTAGGACCTACATGCCTGGGCATAGGTCATCCTTTTGCAGTTGGTCTATAGCCTTGTGAGGAAGGTTCCCCAGATACCTTCACTTGTGCAGTACCTGTGCTGAGCTGTGCAGCTGAGCTTCTTGCTCCTTACTCCATGGCTATGGATACTTTGGTGGACCGTAGCAAGTCAGAAGATTCTGTTAAACCCCAGACATTCCTCCTGGGTTTGTGTGATCATAGCTTTGTCTACCAGCTTTTGGGGACCACTTCACAACTGCTATGGGTTCCTCTTCTGTAATGATTTTCATATTATTTGAAAATCTCATTAGCAAGAGTACTTTCTGCATGGACAGTTTTCACCCTAGTATAGTAAACTTCTATCCTTAAGTTCTAAGGGTTGTGTGGATAAGACGTGGGCCTTTCTACAGACTTGATTTGTCCCAGGTCCCCCTGGGTGTTGTTCTAGTGTTTTGTTTCTGTTGACCACATCATTTTGTGGGTCTTCTTTTCCTTAATCAGGTTATATTGTTCTGTAAATATAACATCAACATCTGCGCTGGTTCAGAGAGATCGTAATCTGTCAACATTAAATTCTGATACAAAGAAATTGCAAGACATACAAATAAAAATGTAGTGCAAAAGTGTAAAAAAAAACAATGATTGAACAATTACTGGCCTAGCTAAACATCCGTGAAGCCAGATGTGGCAACACTTGCTATACAATAAAAATAGTATAAAAGGCAAAACATTGTGAAAGTGAAAAAATAATAAGTCCCAGTGTCAAAGAACTTTAAAAAATATCAAAAAGTGCGATCATGAATCTTCAATTGCTAGATGATCAAACGTTATCCATGTGAAACACGTATCATCCCACTCTTTGCTCAAAGTAGGCTTTCCAGATATATTTGACCATCATGTTATAGAGTGGTCAAAATTGGCGCAAGAATGATCATAAAGCAACGACTCCAGCCTCCTCCATGACCTCCAAATGTGGTTCAAGTGGCGTTCAACCGCTCCGTATAGTAGAACGTCAATGCATGCGTTGTCAGGCATAAAAGTGGCATGTGCCTGATGCAGAAAGAGTAATCTCAGGATTCTTGGACCAAAGCGTTCTGAACCTCTAACCCAGTGGTTCTCAACCTTCCTAACGCCGTGACCCTTTAACACAGTTCCTCATGTTGTGGTGACTCCCAACCATAAAATTATTTACCCAGTAATTATAATTCATGAGTGTCGTTTTACCTCCAATACCGCTGCTTTCAACACAGTAGCTGCTTTTAACAGAGCAGCTGCTTTCTACACAGTAGCTGCTCTTTACACATCGGAAATATGTGTTTTCTGATGGTCTTAGGGGACCCCTGTGAAAGGGTCATTCGACCCCCAAAGGGGTCGCGACCCACAGGTTGAGAACCACTGCTCTAACCAGAGAAGTCAAAACCAAAAACCAGCATGTGTATACCAGGGACCTCCTTCCATATCAAGCTGCGCTCTTCTCTTTCACAGTCGATATACTTCTCATTTTCCGGGTGATTTATCGATTTTTTTTTTTTTTTTTTTTTTTTTTTTTTTTTTCTTCTTTAGAGTTGTTGCCTTTTTTTTTTAGAGGCTATCAGCAAGCGATCACCCACACTATATACACATTCAGTACTTGGCATTGAAGATCTGACAAGTGGATGAGTGAAAAGTTTAAACGATACGAGAGATCTGGCTTATATTGTTCTGCCTGTTTTGTTTTTTTTCTTACTGGTTTGGGCTCAATGCTTTTTACTTTGGGGAAAAGTCATTTCTCTCTGGTAATGATCTCATGTCCCTGTTTTGTGCATCAGGTTGATCCTCCTTGGCCTTCTCTTGCTCTTTGGCAACATCTCTTGTCTTGCAGGGAACTTTCATCTGGTCAGATTTGGGCCTATGGGCCTCTCAATGGTTGTTAATACCTCTCAGTTGGACTGCTTTTGGACATCCTGATTGTATCTGAAATCCTTTGTCCCTCACTGGATGATAAATAAAATACATTTTTGCACTTCTGTAAAATCTTTTTCTTGGAGTCAATTTAGGGACACAAGTCACACCCCATGCATTTTTTGCTCTTGCCTTTGGTACTGCTTTCCACAAACCTGAGACATTTTGGGTAGAGGACAGATTATACATGGGCTGGCTTACAATTTTTATGTTTGCCATTGTCCAAACCTCTTGTAGGCAGCAGTATAAACTGATTGTATCTGTATTCTTGTGTCCCCTTAATAATGGCTTTAATCAAAATGTTATGTGTGTGCCATTATTTTTGTATATTTGTGTAGCTACAGAGTTCTTTAAATAAATTGGTCATATTGTACTTTTTATGCAGGTGTGTGGCACAATTTCATCCTTGGTGTTCTGGGCCTCTTGATACTGTTTCCACTTCCTGTATTCCTGTATCCATTTTACTACACGGGTGTCGGAGCCTTAGTCACTGAAGTCTCAGAGGTAAAACCTGAAAATAGTCTTTTAAATATTTGTCACTTTCACTGTTTATTTGTAGGTCATATAAGCAGGTAATTGCTGTCTAGTCCCAGGATTCTTGTGGCATAACATTTGTATTGCTTAGTAACCTTCTGTACAGTTAATAAGTACGCTTGAGACTCTGATGTCTCTGTAGCACCTTCTTTCGAAAACGTACAGTTATTATAGGTTAAATCTGATGGTTTTGTATGGGAGGCCCAGCCCAATATTGTTTGAGGGCACAACAAATGTTTGTCTTTGCAGCTAGTTAGAAAGTATTCATTTCAGTCTTTGATACTGACTGGTGTTTTAAAAGAGGGGATATGGCTGCTGGTCATGTTGTCCATATTTGAGGTGATTGTAGCTGTATCTGTGCACTTGCAACAAAAACAATTGAGTTGTCCATGATACCTTTTTATTTGCACTAAGATCCATATTTTTAGGGCATGCTTTCAGGGTGAACCCCCATCTTCAAGATCCAAGCAGCTAATTTTTGTTCAATTATCGTGGTATTGTGTGCCTTGAAACAACCAAGCCGTCTTTTTTCAGAGCTGCCTGTCCTCCTTACCGTGGGTTTTTCTTTGTATCCCAAACAATTGTAAATGATTGAACAGTACTGACTGGCATATTCAAGGCTTTGGATATCTTTTTATATCCTTTTACATCTTTAAAAAGTTCTATTATCTTGTTATGCAGGTCTTTTGACAGTTCTCTTCTGCTCCTCATGACTCAATATCTATATTAATCAATGCATCCACGGGAGAGCTAACAAACTCATTACTATTAACACACAGACACTAATTGCAATTTAAAAGAGCCACAATTAACTTTTAATTGCCATTTTAACTTGTGTGTGTCTATACCAAGGCCAAAAATCCCAGTGTATGTATACGTTTTATCAGGGCCATTTGGGTGATTTCTCTTATCATGATTTAAAAAGAAGCCAACAAACAATTATGTGATAATAAATGGCTTCATATGATCACTATCCTTAAATAAAAGACAGGTTTTTTGACATGCCCAGTCACACTTTTTAATATCAATGGCAAAAATTTCATGGAGATTTCTGCCAGGGTATGCAAACTTTTGTGTTTGAGTGTGTGTGTCTATATGTGTGTGTGTGTGTGTGTGTGTATATATATATATATATATATATATATATATATATATATATATTACACATACAGTGTGTGTGTGTATATGTGTGTATATGTATATATATATATATATATATATATATATATATATATACATATATATACACACATACAGTGAGGAACAGAAGTATTTGAACACCCTGCAATTTTGCATGTTCTTCCACTTGGAAATCATGGAGGGGGTCTGCATTCCCACTCCATGAGGAGGCATGGGAGAAAGTCATGTGGTCAAGAGACCAAAGTAGAACTTTTTGGTCTAAAACTTCACTCGTCGTGTTTGGAGGAAAAAGGCTATACAGTAGTACTTCTTGGACCTTGAAGAAGGGGGTACACCCCAAAAGCTTGTCCTGAAAATTTAGATGTTATTGCAAATAAAAAAAGCATTGCAGACAATACTCAATTGTTCATGAGACTCTGAGTCAATATTAGGAAATTAATATGTATAGTTCCTCAGAAATCTTACTTTAGTGGGTCCAGCACTTGTAAGTGGAGTCTCAGTTTAAAGCCAATTTAAATAAAAATGGAAGTCCCTTACTTGAATGGAGTGGTATTTATAAATAATCTTCATTTCCCTGTGAGTAGAGGTGAACTTGGGCATTCTCCGAACACACCTCTGAGTTGAAATTCTATGAAATGCTACATTTCTATGAAACCTGTTTGCTTGTGATCCTTTTGTGAGGTTTTCTCCTGTCTGCAAACATCCTGAGCCTGTGGAAACCATGGAAATGTACCAAATCCATAAAATAATATGGTCACAGGTTGAAGGCATCCTTCAAACTTGCCTATACCTGAACTTCAAAGTTGCGCTTTTTTTTTTTTCTCAGTTTACTGCGGGCTGGGTTCTTCACCGCCCGACAGCACATGTTAACAGAAGGGCAGGATGCTGATGATGTTAATTACTTTATATAGACATATGTCCACATTTAGTCGATGTCAATAACTAAATCTGGTCATGTGTCCATATAAGGGCACTGATATCAGCATCCTGCCCCTTTGTATACAAGTCTGATTGTATTAAAAAAGAGCGCAATATTGATGTTTGGATATAGGTTTGATGGATTCCCTCAACCTGTGACCATTTTACTTTATGGATTTGTTACATTTCCACACTTTCCATGGGCTCAGAAGCTTTGCAGATGTCACAAAGGGGTCAGCAGGTGTTATTGCTGTTTCATAGAATTTCCCCTCAGAGAAAAAGAGTGCCTTTGTTAACAATTGGAACAGTACTGCAACCTCGGGTGTAAGCACATCTACGTACTTACATCTTTGTTCTCATAGGTCCCAAGAACATTGCAGCATTGGGCTCTCTATTTTTGCAGACTTCTGCCTGGGCTGCAATGAATTCACTCTGGCCTATCTCCGCCCAGTGGTGTATTTAGGTTTTGTGCTGCCCTAGTCAACACATAAATTGGCTCCCCTCCCCACGGAGAGACCCTGACACCAACCAACACCCCCCTCCCCATGAAGAGAGCCTTACATTGGCCAACAACACCCCGGCCCCCCCCACCTGAGAGAGCCTTCCACTACCACTGTACCACTGCCCCCCATACACTGGCAACCCCCCCACCCCAGCAAGACATAAGACACTCATCTTCACAGCTCCGGACATCCCCGGGAACAAGGGTCTGCATACACCATCAAGCAGCATGCAGCCTCTCTCAGATGCCACCTGGTCCCCATGCTGCTTGTGTCCCTTCTTTCTTTCCTTCTTTCGGGGGACAGTGCTGCCCCCTGAAAAATGCTGCTGCCCCCCTGAAAAATGCCGCCCTAGGCAAACGCCTTGTGGTAAATACACCCCTGTCTCCGCCCAACACTTACAACTCCATGTTGGCCATTAAGTCTGTCAAACACACTAAATAATGACAAGTTTATGAGGGGTAGGCACGAGGAGATGGGCTGGTGCTCCAAAGGCCTCTTGAAATAAGTTTTGGTTGTACACTGGCACCTTGAAGTGCTTTCATTACAGACAGTTTGCAGCCCTTGCTTTGGACACAGGTGAAAATTAACCACATGCCTACAGGGCACTTATACCACCTTCCTGCTTAGGCCAATTTTCAGCTTTCAGCGCTGTCGCACTTTGAATGACAATTGCGCGGTCATGCAGCACTGTACCCATATGAAATTTTGAATGACATCCATACCAATATGAATCGCACGCGCGGTTAGAGTGGGAGGACGTCATATGACATCCTCCCAGAACAAGAGAACCGCCTTGCGCCTGACATTACATTATATGGCGAGCGGGAGGTGGTTAAAGGATAAGTGCAGTTTTTATAAGAGCCTCTGAGAAAAAAACTCTGTTAAAACCAGTAACACCACTGTCAAACATCACTCTCATTCCTGGCCAGAACTGAGTCAATTATTCTCGATCTTGAATACGAGCCAAGCTCAGAATTGGTTTGGATCATAGGGAATCATGGCAATCTTTCTCACCATGTGCCATTGGGAAACAAGATGCAGCTCCACCTTCGATGCACCCTCTTAATAACCTTGGGTTCTCTGTTCTGTGCCTTGACTCCAAGAACAACCTTGGCCCCTCTGACACATCTGGTCGACTAAAAGTAACTGCAAGCATGAATAACTACACAAGTTTCTAGTACTTTTAACCTAACTGCTGGTTACTACCATTGAATAGACACACATCAGGTAGTAACTTTACTACTGTAGGGCCCATTCACACCAGGATGCAGTTCTTTGCAACATGCATGCTTTTGTGCATTGAGTTGAAAATGCACAAAAAAATTATGTAGGCTGCATTTCTTCAGAGTGCACCACACAGGACACCATGCGGTTCCGCACTACATTGCAGTACATGCTGCATTACGTGCATTGGGGTGCTTTTCAAAACACAGTGCACAAACACTCTTACTGTTAGGGAACACATGTTCCCACACTGCAAATGGTGGGAATGGACTCTATCAGATCATAAAAGTGGAAGTGGAGTATTTTTCTTTCAAATGACAGCTGAAAAAGTTTATAAATTTTGAAATGCTGGGCCTTATGTATGGTGTAATGTGGAGAAATTTGGAGCTAATGGATTAGACCCCACACGTGTTAAAAGCTAACGTTTTTTTTTACATTAAAGTGTTACTAAAGTCTGTTTTTTTAAAATAAAATAACAAACATGTTATACTCATCTGCTCTGTGCAATGGTATTGCACAGAGCAACCTCGATGCTCCTCTTCTCAGGTCCCCCAACAGTGATCTTGGCACCTCCTCCTCTTCTTCTTGTGTCCCCATAGCAAATAGCTGCTATGGGGGCATACAGTGTCTGTTCGCCCCCAAGCTGTGTGTCTATGGAGCCACACCCCAGTTTCCTAATCAATTCATTTGATTGACAGCAGCAGGAGCCAGTGGCTATTCATGGCCTATGTGAAGAGGAAGAGAGGGGAGAGGAAATGCAGCCATGTATAGTGCTAAATCTATTCTCCCCTCCCCGTCACACAAGTAAGGGGAGGACATAGAAATAAACACTTTTTAACCTTAATAAAAAAAAAAAAAAAAAAAAAAGTATTTAGCTTTAGTATCACTTTAATGCATTCTCTGCATTAGGGTAAAAAAAAACTTTCATGTCTTTTTTCCCCAGCCCCAAAAATACCTGCCCCCGATTTTGATTCAGCGCTGTGCCTGAGAGCAGCAGATCTGCTGTCTCTCTTTTCTCACTGGCTGAGAGACTGCTGTTAATCACAACCTGTGAAGAGAGAGTGGGGGGCAGGGCCGAGCCTCACTATTTTGTGTCTAAAGACACAAGTAGTGTGGCTCAGCATTGAGCCAGCAGGTGTGCCCCAGTAGAAAGCAGCTTGCTATGGTGGCATGCCGAGAAGAGGA